CTCTCTCTCTCTCTCTCTCTCTCTCTCTCTCTCTCTCTCTCTCTCTCTCTCTCTCTCTCTCTCTCTCTCTCTCTCTCTCTTTCTCTCCCTTTTCTTTCTTTCTCCCCCTTTTTCTTCTTTTTCTTTCTTTCCTACTTCCTTAGAGAGGCTCCATTGCAATTTGGGCCCTGTTTCACTCAAAAGAATCACACTCCTAGGGCTGGAAGGGACCTTGGAGGTCTTCTAATCCACCTTCCTGTCAAAGGCAGTAGAATCTCTACCCTTCCAGGCAAAGGACCGTCCAATCTCTTCTTGAAAACCTCCAACTTCTGGAGGCAAGTGGTTCCATTGGCTAATTGTTCTCACGGTCAGGAAAAACTTCCTTATTTCCATCTCTCTTTAAGATGAGTTTCCACCCACTTCTTCTCATCCTGCTCTCAGATGGTTTGGAGATAAAGTCAATCCGTGAGAACCCCTCAAATATTGGAAGACTGCTATCCTGTCACCCCTGGTTCTTCTCTTCAATGAGCTAGACTTAGCTGGCTCCTTTAACCGTTCAGATGATGCAGCAGGCCTGCGAACAAAGTGAAAGTGAATCCAGGTTTAAACAACAATATCTGGTCGCATGTCTGGATTCCATCATCAGTGTGGCCCAACTGAATCAAAGTCCTTGACGTAGGGCCGAAATTGAGCCCAAAATTTATGTTGCTAAGTGAGTCATGTATTAAGTGAGTTTTGCCCCATTTTATGCCTTTTCCTGCCACAGTTGTTAAACGAATCACTGCAGTTGTTAAGCTAGTCACGCGGCGGTTAAGCGAATCCGGCTTCCCCGTTGACTTTGCTTGCCCAGAAGGTCGCAAAAGGGGATCACGTGACCCTCCCTGGGACACTGCGACCGTCATAAATACGAGTCGGTGGCCAAGCGTCTGAATTTGGATCACGTGACCATGGGGGGGGGGATGCTGCCATGGTCCTAAGTGTGAAAAACGGTCCTAAGTCACTTTTTTCAGTGCGGTTGTAACTTTGAACGGTCACTAAATGAACCGTTGTAAGTCGAGGACTGCCTGTATTTGAGGAAAGGGCGCTCTCTCTCTCTCTCTAAATGAGCAGCCTGTACAAAATGTTATCATCCTTGTGGTCAGCATCGCTGGGGTGGCTCTTTGCGCCTCCCCCCCCCTCCCCTGGCTGTGCCTAAACCTGCACAATTTTGCTTTTCTTTTGTTCGTCTTTGTGGGGGGGGGGGCAGAGGAAGAAAGAAGCTGGTGGACTTTCAATGCGTTTCTTTATTCCTTCCTCGGGTTTTGGGTTGTGGCTCTTGCGACAACAGGCGCCTTTCTATTCCCTTTCGCCGGTGGGGAGGGCGTCTTGGCAGGCGTCCATCAAGGCTGGCAAGGAAACCAAGGCTGGAAGGAAGGAGGGGAACCAACACAGACAGTCAAGGAACTTGCAGCAATCCGGAAGGCCACGGGGCACCAATGAGAGGGAAGCCGTTTTGTTGGGGGGCTGACACGGCTCCCCCCAGTAAGTCCCATCCTCTCTGCCGAAGGTATGGCTTGGCTCTTTAGGAGTTGCTTGGTTTTCTTCCACTCTTCCAAGGAGGGGTGGCTTGTCTTCCTCCCTCCCTCCCTCCCTCCCTTCCTTCCTTCCTTCCTTCCTTCCTTCCTTCCTTCCTTCCTTCCTTCCTTCCTTCCTTCCTTTTTTTTAAAAAAAGAATTTCAAGCTTTCTGACTTGTTGATCAAAGTATTTCAGGGCAGTGTGCTACGATTCTAACATCCATCAGATGCTTTCAAGATTGGAGGTCTGGGTCTTCCCCAGTTGAAATGGGCTGCAATTTTAGGTGCTGCAGCCAAGCCTGGGGGGGGGGGGGAAACCAGGCTGCCTCAGAATTTTGCATCTTTTCCTTAAACAAAAACCTTCATTGCTGCACCTCTAAAATAAACGTTTGCTTTCTTAGCCTTTCGTGTGGGGAAGTGTTTTAGAAGAGAGACACAAAATCAACTGGAGGCTACGGAGTGCTCCTAGCTGCTAAAAACTCTTGAAGACTTTTGGATTTGGGTGATGTTGGGTGATGTTGAAAGCCCTGATTGTGAGCTGAAGCCACCCTTTGATTGAGGAATGTCGAGCAATGCATTCACACACACACACACACACACACACACAGAGAGAGAGAGAGAGAGAGAGAGAGAGAGAGAGAGAGAGAGAGAGAGAGAGAGAGAGAGAGAGAGAGAAGGGGGGGAGAAGAGAGCATGATTTAACTGCTTTTATTTTAATTTACAGCTTTATTTCTCAACCTTGGTGACCTTAAGCTGGGTGGGCTTCAATTCCCAGAATTCCCCAGCCGGCTGGAGAATTCTGGGAGTTGAAGTCCACCCATCTCAACATCAACAAGAGGGAGAAACCTTGAATTAAGAGAAAAGACACCTTAATACTTGTGATAGCGCACAATCAGGTTTTTGCAAAAATGAAAGCCCTGACTATTCGTTTTAGAAAGAAGAGGTGATTCTTTATTCTTTTTTTTGTTTTGTTTTTTGACAATGCTCAGGATGTGTTGGATTAGTGGTAAGTTCTGGATATATCAAAGAAGCTATCGTTTTTATTCAGTGGCAGAGTTGACTTTCCGTGGTGGAGTTAAAACAAGTCACCAATGCTGAACCGGTTGTGTCCTGTCCCGGAGAAGGTGGGGACCCTCTTCACCAAGTACCAAGGCCCAACGAGAGCTCATCTCCTGAGGAGAGTTTATTTTGGGGATACATATATATGTATATACTTTTAAGAAGAATTCTTCCTCTTATCACCAGAAATGCTAACCATAAAGTTGCCTCAAATCTTCAGGGTCCATCAAGTACCTCGGGTGAGTAATTCAGAATACAGAATAACAGTGTTGAAAGGGACCTTGGAGGTCTCCTAGTCCAACCCCCTACTCAAGCAGGAGATCTTATATCATTCCGGACAAATGGCTGTCCAATCTCTTCTTGAAAATCTCCAATGTTGGGGCACCCACAACTTCTGGAAGCAAATTGTTCTACTGGTTAATTGGGCTCACTGTCAGGAAATTTCTCCTTAATTTTAGGTTGCTTCTCTCTTTGATGATCTTCCACCCGTTGCTTCATGTCCTGCCCTCAGTATTCAGGAAGGAATCATAGGACTGGAAGGGACCGTGGAGGTCTTCTAGTCCAACCCCCTGCTCAAGGCAGGAGACCTTATACCATCCCAGTCAAATGGTGCTTTAGTCTGTTTATGAACGCCTCCAGTGATGGAGCACCCACAACTTCTGAAGGCAAGCCGTTCCACCAATTAATGGTTCTGATTCAAAAAATTTCTCCTCAGTTCTATATCGGATCTCTCATTAACAGATTTCCACCTGTTACTTCCTGTCCTGCACTCCGGGGCTTTGGAGAATAGAATAGAATAGAATAGAATAGAATAGAATAGAATAGAATAGAATAGAATCTGGAAGGGACCCTGGAGGTCTTCTAGTCCAGCCCCCTGCTCAAGCAGGAGAACCTATATTGTCTCAGACAGGTGAATGTCTAGCCTCTTCTTAAAAACCTCCAGTGATGGAGCGCCCACGATTCCTGGTGGCAAGCTGTTCCACTGGTTAATGTCCTCGCTGTCAAGAAGTTTCTCCTTAATTTCAGGTTGCTTCTCTCTTTGGTCAATTTCCAACCATTGTTTTTTGTCCTGCCCTCTGGTGCTTTGGTGAACAACCTGGCTCCCTCTTCTTTGTGGCAGCCCCTTAGATACTGGATCACTGCTATCATGTTCCCCCTATTTCTTCTTTTCCTTAGACTATCCAGGTCCAAATCCCGTAGCCGTTCTTCACGTATTTTAGTCTCCAGGCCTTTGATCATCTTAGCACTTCTCTGATTTTTTTCCAAACTCTCAACATCTTTTTTGTGACAAGATGACCAAAATTGGCTGCAGTATTCCAGGTGTGGTCTCACTAGGGTTTTATAAAGTGGTACTAATACTTCGCGTGATCTTGATTCTATGCCTCTGTTTATACAACCAGGATTGTATTAGCTTTTTTGGCTGCTGCTGGCTCATAGTCAAGTGATGGTCCACCAGGACTTCAAGGTCCCTCTCACAGTTGCTGTTTTTAAGCCAGGTCTCGCCCAGTCTGAATTTGTACCTTTGATTTTTCCTGCCTAAATGTAAAACTTTGCTTTTCTCTACACTGAAACTCATTTGTTGAATGTTGATCATCTCTTCTTTGAGACAGTGTTGGACACCCCTGGGTTTACCCTTATTCACCTAACTAGCTGTCCCCGGCCACGCGTTGCTGTGGCTCAGTCTGGTAAAAGCGTGTGTTGCTTTTACGTCCAACAGATGGCGCTGTTTTTCAAAAAAGCATGTTTTTACTTGTCACAGGTGTGACATCTATGTAATATAGGTATATAAAAACACGCGCGTATTCGAATGCAACATTGTGTCAAAATTTCAAAGCAATCGGGGAAGAACTTTCGGAGATTTAAGATTTTGAACAAATGAACATTTACATTTTTATTTATATAGAAGATAACGGTGGCAGAAGAAGGTTATAAACTGGGCATGAATCATTTAACAACCGTCTTGCTTAGCATTAGAAATTCTGGTCCGAATTGTGATTGTAAGTCGGGGACTATCTGCACATGGAAGGCGCTAAGGCAGTGGTTCTCAACCTGTGGATCGCGACCCCATTTGGGGTCGATCAACCATTTCACGGGGGTCGCCAAGCAAGGCTGTCCGCCATTTTTTTTGTCCGCCATTTTTTTTGTCCGCCATTTTTTTCCCCTTTTCCGGCGGGTGCCTTACCTCCCTTGGGCTGGGCCAGCTGGTGGTCGGCCTGCTCCGTCTCTGCCGCTTGCCAGCTACGCCTCGGCCGGCGCAGGGGGCGGAACCACGCATGCGCAGCGCTCCCGGGCAGGGAAAGTCCTCGACTTACGACCGGTTGGGTAGTCCTCGACTTACGACCGGTTTAGTCCTCGACTTACGACCGGTTGGGGTCGCGGCATTAAAAAGGTTGAGAACCACTGCGTTAAGGGTTAAGGGTTTTCCAGAGCAGCTAGATGTGACATTATGCAGGGCAGCAAAAGCTACATTTAGATCATGGATGTGAGGCACCCAACTCCTAACACCGAGACAGAGGCAGCTGTGATTATGTACCTGAAAAAAACATAAAGCTTTTCAGAAAAAACATTTTTTTTTTAAGGAAATCAGCTTTAGGAGTAGAGTTTGTCAGTGATTCCTGAATGAGGCAATTAACCTGATAAAGGAGATATTATAGCTTGCCAGATATTACCATCTTCTCTGCCATGTTAAGCATTCTTGGACCCTGAAAAACTTTTCATGGTGTAGAGCCGGGGTGGCGAACCTATGGCACGGGTGCCAGAGGAGGCACTCAGAGCCCTCTCTGTGGGCACGCGCACCGTCGCCCCAGTCCTAGGCCTTCCGCTGGGTTTTATAAAACCTTTTCGCTTTAGGCCTCCACCACCGTGTGCAAAAAAAAATAATTCAATCAATTTCAACTTCTCATGAAAAAAAAAGATCTCGCAAAGTTGGAATTGATTGATTGAACTTTTTAGTCCCACCCAGTCTGCCGTTACCACCGAAGCTATGCCCACCCAAAGGGCCACACCCACCCGGCACCCGATGATACATAAGTGGGTTTTGGGTTGCAATTTGGGCACTCGGTCTCTAAAAAGTTCACCATCACTGGTGTAGGGTCTTTTGTTTGAAATGGTCCAGGGTCTCCTGTTTGAGCAGGGGGTTGGACTAGAAGACCTCCGAGGTCCCTTCCAACTCTTCTGTTATTCTGTTAAATTTGAGACTGTGGAGCCTCAACTGAGACTGCAACCACCAGGATTCCCAGAAGCATGGGGAGTGTAGTCCCAACATTTTTGGATACCTCGCTTTTTATCTTGTAGATTTTCTGGGAAGAAGGCATCGTGTCAGGATACCGACACCCCAAAAGTTCTGCCTTGGATTGCGTCCTCAGCTCCTTCCAACTGAACAACGAAACCGTCAATATTTGGACTCATTTTCTTCCGACTTGGTGAGTCTGGATTTTAGCCGCCACTCAGAGCTTGGTTGGGGCCTGCTGTTCGTCTCGCCTTCTGCTCTTTTTCCAGTTGTGCCACTGCTCAACTGGTTGTCTCCGTGGAGGAATTACGGATAGTCCTTGACTTACAACATTCTCTTAGTGACCATTCAAAGTTGCAACGGCACAGCACTGGAAAAAGGAACCAGTTTCCACACTGATGGCCGTTGCCGCACCCCCACGGTCACGGGATCAAAATTCAGGCGTTTGGCAAGTGGTTCATAATGACGGACGTTGCAGCGTCCCCGGGTCACGGGATCGCCATTTGTAACCTTCCCAGTTGGCTTCTGACAAGCAAGGTCAACAGGGAAAGCCCAGATTCGCATAATGACCTCACGATTCACTTAACAGTTGTGTGTGTGTGGGGGAAAAGGCTGTAACATGAGAGGCAACTCACGAAACAGCTGCCTTGCGTAGCCAAAGAAATTTTGGGCTCGTAATTGTGGGTCGTAAGTTGAGGACTACCTGTACAGACTGATCAGCTGGGGGCATCCCTGAGCCAGAGAGAATTCAGCGTTGACCCTGAAGGGGCCTTTAAAACAAGGAAACCAGCAAAACATCCATCTTAAAAACAGAAATAGAACACAGAACACACTCCTCCATTTAGGATCATAACTGAGCTTGCAATTCCAGTCATAAAGTGGGACAGCCGTAATGTGGATCATCATGTGACCGCGCCCGATTCTGTAATCTTTTATGCGGTGGTCATTAAGTTCCGTTGTGAACATTGGGGTGGTTAAGCCAACCCAGCGTTTGCCATGGGCATTTTTGGCTGGAAACTGGAAGTTAAATGCCGGTTTCTAGGGAAAAATTGCAGCCGCGTGACGGCACAACATTGCAGGTGGCCACGATGTGAGCTGGTGGCCGACTGTCCCAAATGTGGTTATGTGGCCCCAGGAGGGTGGGAACTTTGAATCCAGGTTGTAAGTCCCTTTTTTTGTTTGTGGGGGGTGTCTGTTGAATGATGACTGTCGTAAACCGAGGACTATCTGTAATATAAAATAGACTAATAAATTGAAAAATCTTTCTTTCAATCACTTGTTTTCAATTATCTGGCAATATTAAAGTACTACTCCCAAAACTGCTTTATTTGTCTCTTCAGCAACTCAGATTCACAATCTGTTGCCTGTGTGTGGAGGTGAGAATCTAGCATCCAACAATTCTCCTTCAATTTTTTTTCCCAATCCTAAACTACAGGTAGTCCTCGACTTACGACCACAATTGAGCCCAAAATTTCTGTTGCTAAGCGGGACAGTTGTTAAATGAGTTTTGCTCCTTTTACCTCCTTTCTTGTCCCAGTTGTTAAATGAATCACTGCAGTTGTTAACTTCATAACAGGGTTGTTAAGTTAACCCCCATTGACTTTGCTTGTCAGAAGGTCGCAAAAGCAGGTCACATGACCCCTGGACACTGCAAACCGTTGTCACTGTTCTGACAACCAGAATTAAATCGCGTTGTAAAACTAGGTCAGACAGATAAACTCAATAGAAATGATTTTAAAACAGAAATATATTTATTCAGAGGAAATACTTGCATTTGTGTTGGTTGCTTCTGGACAATACATCTCTGTTCATTCCCATAGGTGAGCAATTAATGCTTCCTCCATACCACTTCTACATCGTGAATTGGGGTCATCGGAGACATGCCGGTGACCCCATGCTTTCTGAGACAAAGACATTCCAAACTGGCTTGTGTCTAGGAAATCCTGTGATGAGCTCAGTAACTCCTCCCACATACCTGATAATATGAGATAGCTGACTAGCTAAACTACATTTCCCATAAGCCAGTCGTGGCGAACCTATGGCACGGGTGCCAGAGGCGGCACTCAGAGCCCTCTCTGTGGGCACGCGTGCCGACGCCCCACTCCTAGGCCTTCAGTTGGGTTTTATAAAAACCTTTTCGCTTTAGGCCTCCTGCAAAAAAAAAAAAAGTTCAATCAGTCAATTTCAACTTCTCGCGGGAAAAAAACTCTTGCAAAGTTGGAATTGATTGATTGAACTTTTTAGTCCCACCCAGTCTGCTGTTACCACCGCAGCCACACCCATACAATGGGCCACACCCACCTGGCACCCGACAATGCATAAGTGGGTTTTGGGTTACAGTTTGGGCACTCGGTCTCTAAAAGGTTCGCCATCACTGCCATAAGCCATCTCTTAAGGAGACAGCACTTAACCCAATAAATGCCAACCTTCTAACCTACAGAACTACATGGTCCAGAACAGGGGGGGGG